TCTGATTAATATTCTGATATATATACAATTCTTTGATGAATAGAAAGTTGAAAAAACATGCTTTTGAAATATTTTAACTGACTGATCTATGATAATCTTGTCTGAAAAATCTTTTGCAACATTACAAATATATTTACTGTCTTTTATTATTGATCAATTTAATGCACCCCTGATGAATAAAAATATTAATTTAATAAAAATTTCTATTTAGCAAAGAACCTTAAAAAAATGTGTCAAAGTTTCTGCAAAAATATTAAGCAGTACAACTGCTTTTTAACATGTATAATAATAAGAAATGTTTCTTGACCACCAAATCAGCACATTAGAACCATTTCTGAGGGATCACATATAGTTTGCATCATTGTTATGTTGCTTCATAAAAGCCTATATTGATAATAAAAGATTGTTGACAAATTTATAGTGCATTTTCAAGTGTTTTCTGCTAAGTCAAACACACGTTGAACAGTAAAAATGAGCTCAGCACAAAAAAAAACTAATCTTGCAGCAGAGCTTCTTCTACACAGCACCGTCCTGCTTATACACTCAGTGTAAATACTATAAACTGTAATTTAAGTATATAAATAAATGTGCTGCTTGCGTTTGCGTATGAAACAGACCTGATACCACAAGCAATTCCAAAGCCACAAAGCAGTTTTGCACTGCAAAGACCCATTACAGATTCAACGCACACTCTCATCCCCTCATCAGCAATACAGTAAATAATACGCTTAAATTAAGGTTTCTAAACTCTGACTCTGATAAACCTGACCACTGAGCAGCAACGGCAATCATTTCCATATACGAGGCTCTCCGGGCCACCTAAGCCAAATTGTGCAAGCTAAGCACAAGATGAAAGCGTTTACGTTCCCGGTTCTGCTGTGCGTTAGCAGAAAAAAAATGCAACGTAAAAAGGTGAATAAATAAACCCGGTGGAGTGAATGGATACGGGTGGGGGAGGAGGTGCTAATTAGTTTCGGCCCTTTGATGTCACCGCCACCCGCACCGCACGCGAACCTTTCAATTAGCGAACACCAAGATGTACACATCAGCTGTTTTCAAAGCCCTTTTCCGTCTCTTTAACTCAATCATGTACTTATGGGGTCCATTTAGCCATGCGGTTTCCATTAAGACGTTCCATTAATAAAGAGCGAGCTAGAGTGAAAGCAAAGTGGGTAAACAGACACAGAATAACTCCAGTAGAAAAAAACAGATGGTACCATCAAGAGGTGAAAGGTTTTTCTGGCCGATGAGGAGATAGATGACGGGGAGAGGAGAGAGATATGGGGAGAACGGGGAGAAAAAATGTCAAGCGGGAGCGCAGCAAGGACAGTGACCTTCAGACTTAGCTGCTAGTTTGTTGCAGGTGGCTGGGATGCCTTACTGTGAATGCATAACTCCCATGAAAACACACACACACACACACACACACACAGACCTTCTAAATGTCACACTTCACTTTTGGCACGCACACACAAACACACACCTTGTCTACCTCTCTCTTCCTCACTCTCTTTTTCATTTCTCCCCTTGAGAGTCAACATTCACATTCATCACAAGTTGTTGACCTCTGTATCTCAAACTATGGGTATACATCTACACACACACACACACACACACACACACACAACCTTTGGCCTTCAAGATCGGCAGGATGGTTAGTTGTAGGATTTCTAAAATATTCACAATATATATGCAATGACTTTACTGGTGACAAAATTAAGTGAATATTGTGACTTTTTTGGGACATTTGATTTGATAAAAGGCATCACATGACAAATTTTGCACACTTTTAATGACTCTGGGAACATTAAAAACATAATTTACACAGAAAAAACTAATTTTCACCCTTATTTACTCATTCTCATGTTGAGCCGAACCTGTATGACTTTTTTTTCACAAAAAAAGGATACACTGATTAATATCTCCATGTTTTTTGTCCACCCAATAAAAGTCAGTGATGTCTAATGTTGATTTGGATGCCTTTTACATTAATTATATGAGCATTTCTAAAATGTTCTTCCTCAAAATATTGTCTTTCATGCTCCACAGAGGGAAAAAATCATAAAGTTTTGGATGGACATGAGGATGATTAAATGGTGAATTTTTATTGTTTGGTAAACTGTTCCTTAAAGACATAGGATCTTCAGATTTAAACTTCAGTAGTAAAACTGGCAATAGAACGGGTACGTTTGATTAATTTCATGTCAATCAGTTCAAAATTACTCGATTCAAAACTGATCCAACAATTTATCAGTGCTCAGAATATTTTTTTTTATTTTTAAATATATGTAGATAAATATTGCTTATTATTACTATGCATTGTTATAGTAGGGAACATTAATTAAAAATAAAAAAAATATATACATTTTTTATGAAGAATACTGTGGAAAATATGCCTACATAATATTCACATATTCAATGAGATATTCACATATTTTATTTCTGTGTAGATACATTTACTAGATGTTTACTGTGTTTTAGAATTATTTAAAAATAATAATAATAATTAAGTTGGCTATAATGGCTTGTTTTCTTTTCTAAATGAACAAAACATAAAAAACACTTTAAATCAACATATTTAAAGACTAAAACAAATCACTTTATATCAATATATATAAAGACTAAAAAAAGTTGCCTTTTTTAAGCTATAAATTCCAGCCCTAGTTGGTTGTTTTCTGTTTACTTGTGATTTGTCTCCTGTAGATGGGCATTACTGAAAGACCTGGACAGTAGCTTAGAGTAATCGAAATGCTGCCAACATAAAGAGCAATAGGGCATCCTGACAGCCTGCAGAAGTTCTTTATGAGAAGATTCTTGTGTGTAACGGATGACTGCACACTCTCTCCTGTTTGCCCGCTCCCAAACTCTCTACCTGTGGGTGATCCGGAGCGTGTACTGATGCTTTATAAGCTATTATGTTGCTATTTCCAATGCATAATCCTATTTAGTAAACGTATATTCAATTCAAAGCGGGCCTCTGCCCCAAGGTGATGCTCGGTTCTCACATATCGCTTTGTCTGTGTCTACAATGAGGCTGAATTCAGACTAGCAGAGTGTGAAATTAAACAGGTGATAAATTCTCCGCTACGGCCAGACGCAGGGAACACTGTCATTTTTCATTACCTCCAAATAAAAGAGTGAGAGAACACTGCCATTTCTTTCTTATGACTAATGAACATGCGTATTGAAGCCAGGTCTAAACAAATGAATAAACCATGTCTGTGTAAATAAACAGCCCCTTTGGCCCCTCTGAGAAAATGTTTTACTTTGACTGTATTTTGTGCCCACAACCGCAAAATCATACCAGCCATCACACAAATGGAGTGCGGTGTTTGAAAGCTAAATGTAAGATAGACAAAACAGCTCTGTTTTCATCAACTTAAAACCCCGTTCACTATTCTTCTAAATACAAAGACCTGCCGGCTGATGTGTTTTAGCCGCCGCGGTGTTGCATCACTAGTCTAGAGAATAAATTGACAAAGCAGGTGTCACAGGCCTCTGGGCAGGATCTATTGACCGGACCCAGATCCTGCAGCCTTTAACAGCAACTCCTCCACAGCTTACAGAGCTGGAAAAAAAGGTCTGATGAGACTTAGAGGGGGAAAATGTGTGATTTTTTATTTTATTTATTTATTTTTGTTTTACTGCCAAACAGCCTGCTGGGAATGACTTAAGTGAGATATTACATAAGGACTATACAGAGAAGTGGTAGGGTACATTATAGTTTATTATATACAGAGCTGGGTAGAGTACTTTGTAGTTTAAATTGTAGTCTGTTACTGATTTCAAATTACATGACAAAAATAGTAGTTTGCAACGTAATCCATTGCATTACACATTTAGGTCATATAATAAGACTACTTTATGATTACTTTTAGATTACTTGTCATTTATCATATTGGACAATCTTGTACCATATTGATATAAACATACAAAGAGTAAGAAAATTTATAACATTTGTTGTAATTGACAACATGAAGTGCATTAAACATTACATTACAACAAGCTTTCCCAAACTGGGGTTCGTAAAGGAAATAATACTTAATTAATAAAATATTTATTTTTAAAATCTCAGGGAAACTTTATGGAATCAGTTTTCTGCCAAAAGTATTGCAGTCGCAGATAAAAAAAATGATAAGAGTGAAACCAAAATTAAAAAATATAAGGAAAAATATATTGCGCAAAATGTAAAAAATGTAAGCAAAGTTCTCAGAATAGCAAACAATAGTCACAGATTGAAAAATAATCAAAAATGAAAAATTGAAAAAATAAGCATGAATCAAAATATTTTACATTTAAAATCATATTGCACAAAACTGAAATATTAACGCAAAATTATTCGACTTGCACACAAAATCATGTTTTCCTTTGATATATTTCTTTGTTTCTTTTGTGCCCTCATACATTTTCTGCTCATATTTTTATTTTCTGTATGCTTATGCTGCTTTTAACTTCGCTCTTGTTTCCAAGTTTAGCGCTCGCTTTTCCAAATGTTGCGGTTAGAGTTTCATGTAAATCAGGGTGGGTTTAAGCGTCATCATTGGTCCACTAGTTCTAAATCGACAGCTCCTACTCTAGCCAATCAGTCCAAGAGGGGAGCTGATGTCACTCCAATGTGCCTCATTAGCATATTTATGTGTGTGTGTGTTTTATTGTGCATATATTGTGAATATTACATATATACATATGTTCTATTAAATGTTAGTACAAGTGGAAAGCATGGTACCGACTATAACTGCCTCAAAACCAGAATAAAACTGAATCTCACACAACAAGAAAAGACAGAGAACACAAGGCGCATACTAATGCCTGCATTTCATGCTTCAAATATGACGGGTCACTAAGTGCAGTCGATGCAAGGAGGTTAAATTGGCCGCAATAAACTGTTTGGAGTGAATGCATTAACTCGGCTCGCCCCAAGTACAACTGTGAAAATCAGCAAATAACAGGGATTTCAGCTTCTCACTTATCTTATCACATACATGAACACATAAACCCACCTTCATCACAGACGCCAGGTTTGGCCACCTCAATCTTCCTCTGTTTCTTGCAGGAGGCCAGCCGCAGCTCACAGTCGTTGTTGTAGGTGTTGCCGTCGTTGCCGCACACGGGTTTCACCGGCTGACCCGTGCACTGCTGACACTCACACTGGTTCTCGACGCACCGTGCTCCCCAGCTACACACAGTGCTGCCACAGGTTTCTGATCACACACACGCAACACGCACAAATCACAGGACAGGATAGTTGAGACACAAAGAGATGCAAGAAACATGTTCACACCTCAATAAACGTCCTCCTGAAACTCCAAACACATTCACATGGGATTCTGCTACGTAAAAACCACCACGTAAAATCATGTAGCATGCATAACATGATTTGGAAAGAGAGCTAAAACAGTTTCTTGTGTTTTGACAAGAAAACTGCACTGCAAAACATTTTCTTCATCAGTATTTTGTCTTGTTTTCTAGCACCACATAATTCAACGATTTAAAAAACGAAAAAAAAACAAACATAATTTGCTTGAAAAGTAATACTGCACAAGATATTACGACTTTTTCAGAGAACATTTATCTTGAATTAAGTTTATTTTTCTCCTTAAATTGTCAATTTTCTTGCTTAAAGCATAATTCTGAAAAACATGGGATTTATGCATAAACAAACAAAACAGATAACCTTAGTTCAAGACACATCAGAAAAAATTCATCTGTCACAATATTGTAAACTAAAGAAAGTTTTACTGGAAATCAAAACAAAAATACTACAGAAAATGATTTGTTTGGCAGCAAACGCAGACTGATGAGTGAACATGTATGAAGGTGATGGATGAACTGATTGTTGTTTTTCTGTACTCACTGCATTCTCCATGGGCCACCACTCTGAGATCCAGCTGCTTAGTGCAGGCTTCCACGTTTAGCTTGCACTCATTCTCGTACGTCATCCCGTCGCTGCCGCACACGGGCTGCCGTGTTTCCAAACACCCTTTGGGGCACACGCACCGGCCAGTCTGAGCGTCGCAGATCGCGCCAAACGAGCAGTTGTTGCAGGACTCATCTGCTGAAAAGGAAGTGTGACGTCAATGGAGAGATTCATGCTACAGATTCACACCATCGCTCACTAGGATCAGCCTCAGCTGCCCGGTCGCCTGTCAGCTTTATTAAAATCTCTCAGCAAAGTCTGGGCTAAAGCATCCTTCCATTGTGCAGATGGGAGCAACGCTGCTCTGTTTACATGCAGGCACAGCAGAGCATCTTATAACGTCATCCATTTCAACTGATGTTGTGCCTTCGGACACAGTTACAGCCCCCCTGGCATGACATTGCATTTAATTAACCACATGCCAATATTTACTGAGGAAAACCCCCAAATTAAGCTATTTTATACAAATTTTATACAAAAGAATTAATTCTAATATTAATATGATAGAATATACATGTATTTAAAAAGACATGTAACTAATTCCATATATTTTATACAAAAAATAACTGGAATTAATTACATGATTAAAAATATATATGTGTATGTACTGTATATATATATATATATATTAGGGCTGGGCGATATATCGAATATTAGCGATATCCAATAATTTTGATGACGATGTAAAATTTGAAAATATCGTGATTATCGTGAATACCGAATATTTCAAATTCAAGCATACTTTCCCAAAAGAACGCGCTGAACGTCCAAAAAAGGAGACAACACGTTATTGCGGATTGCTCAACTGTACACGCCTCTACAGTTCCCCGAATCAGAGCTTCGCTGTTACAAGGATACATTTTCTCCCCGGTGTTTTGCTTATTTTAAGCAATCTGGCAACCATGCGCACGAGCTCACTCCTCATTGTGGAAGCGTCGATGATCTCAAAACACTGACAAACAAGCTGGAGTTTAGCGATCAAAATGAAAGTGTCACTCAACCAGTCTGTGTTCTGTCATGAGATCTCGACTGTATTGTTTGCATTTGTTATCGCTAAATAAATGCACTTACTCAACCGCTGTTGTTTGAATAGAGAAACATAGGCTATGGCAATTAGCAATTACTATTAGGAATTTCACTGTTATAATATTTTTCATTTGTTTTACCCTTATCCCAGTTTAATTATTTCCCCCAATTGCACAGTGTAAATTGTGAATTGCATGCACTAAAAAAGTTGACAGAATGCACTTTCAGTACTTGTTTTGCACTACTTCAGTTACACATACATGTGTTCATTTAATAAAAATCAGTAAGTGATCACTTGGTTTAGATTTTTTTTAATGCTTAAATTTGCACTAAACATTTTGTATTTACTTTGTAACAATAGCTGTTCTTTCTAAATTGTTTTTACATTTGTATTACATTTGATTAATTTCTTATTTATATTTATTTACAATTATATTAATATTAAATTGATATATTAAGAAATGTTAGATATATTATATAATAATTACATAAAATGAAGAATTTAAAATAATTTTTATTAATATGAAACAATTAATAGTATTAAACTTTATACCAAATGTTAATTTGTGATATTAATTGCAATATCATGCAATTCAATTATTAACTGAAGATATAAAATCGTTCTAGTACTATTTATTTACATATTACACAATTTATATACAGGTCAGAGAGTGTGATTAAGGGTTTTAGTGTGTGTGTTTTTTAAATTAATCATAGTTAAGGTGTTAAATTGAAATCCCTAGTTCTCAGATATCTTGCTATGATTACCGAGAGCCCAGTTAATCAGTAAAACAAAATGTGGTTCCAACTGGGAGAGAGGGAAGGAGGGAGCATGGCCGATGACAATTACACCTGGGGGATTGCATTAGAGCAACTGCTATCACATTCAATTAGTGCTGGGGTAATAACAGCACCTGATTTAGTGTTAATGGAGAGAGGTCCTCATGCATAAATCTCTCGTCTCTCTTCTACCAACCTGTTTATTGCACATTAATAAAGTGACCTCACCTCCGCTCAGGATCAGTCAACCTCAGGGACTGCGCTCGGCCGTCTTATTAAAAGCAGCTGCAGCGTGCTGCCCAGCGGCCGACCAAGAGCGCTTCGTCGTGACAGTCCAATGCAGGCCGATAAATCACATTCTCATGGCTGCTGGTATTCTCCTTTATCAGTATGTGTGATAAAGGCATTTCTTTATCAGTTGCAACATGTTTCCATGCTTTCACGGCCTCGGCAGAGGGAAGTGCAATAGATACGGCAGTCGGTAACATATAAACAGCGATCCAGCATACAAAGCTGGACCCGAGATACGAGTACAGACATGGGCCATTATGGCAGAGCTTAGCCTTAAGGGAAAAAAGAAGAAATTCTGTTCATTCAGGCCCAGAAATGAAAATTGTACCATCATTTACTCACCCTCATGTCATTCAAAACCTGTATGACGCTCTTTCTTATTCGAAGCACAAAGAAAATTTTGAATAATGTTTCTCTCTTTTGTATGCAGTTACAATGAATGCGGACTAGAGCTTTCAAGCTTCAAGAAGAGCACAAAAGCACCACAAAAGTATCATAAAGGTATAAAAAAGGTTTGTACCATTTGGGTGTCAAATATATGTCTTCATACGGCAGCTTTGTGTTGAAAAAGACTGAATTTTAAGTCATTGTTGAGCTGAGTCATTTAATCATTGAGAACTGAATCAGCTTGATATGCGAAGTAATTATTCTAATGGATTCAATCAATTCAGAATGTCATCACTAATTCTGTCATTTATGTTTTTCTTAGGTTATTGCAGTAAAATTTCAACTTTCATTCAATATGTTACTTGCCTATTACTATAATACTATTTCACTTTTTTTCGGTGAATAATGGTTCAAATGTTCAGAATTCAATTCCATTATAATAAAAAAAAAGATTCAAAGACTACTGGAGTATATTTTACAAGAAAATGATATTTCAGTTTTTCCACTTAGAAATTTCAGCTTTAATTCAATGTGCTATTTGCCTTTTGTCATTAATTGTGAAATACTACCAATTTCTGAGTGAAAATTATCTCTACATCTAACTTTTTTTCAGTTTAGGAAAGCTAGAATGAGTGTTTTCAGGTTTTTTACTTTATTTTTATTTTTTTTGGTGAATAATGGTTCAAATGTTCAGAATTCAATTCCATTATAATAAAAAGTAGATTTTCTTTAAAAAAAAAAGATTCAAAGATTACTGGAGTATATTTTACAACAAAATTCTATTTCAGTTTTTCCACTTAGAAACTTCAGCTTTAATTCAATGTGCTATTTGCCTTTTGCCATTAATTGTGAAATACTACCAATTTCTGAGTAAAAATTATTTCTACATCAAACTTTTTTTTCAGCGTAGGAAAACTAGAATGGATGCTTTCAGAATTTCTATGAATAATGGTTTAAATGTTCAGAATTCAGTTTTATTCTAATGAAAAAGTGTTTTTTCTTCACAAAAAAAGTCATACAGGTTTGGTGATGACAAAAGTTTTATTTTTGGGTGAACAATTCCTCTAAAGGTGAGTGGTAAACTGCTCTCTTTTGCCCAGAGAAAGGAAGGAACATTGTTAATGTCAGGTACAGAAGAGCAGTTTTTGTGAATAGCCGTAAAAACTCCCTGGCGATTGGTGCTTGGGCAAGGGCACCGGCACTATTAGTCTGCTCCATCTCCTCCTAGTTTTTATTTACTGCCCTCTCACTCCTTCCACAGCCTGATGATTTCTCTTCCGCTTCCAGCTCAGTGTCTTGCAGGTAACCTATATTCCCCAACTGTGGCCAGTAACATTTCAATCACCAGTAAATAGTGCTTATTTGCTGCTGACTCGTTGGCTGTTCTTTCATTTCCTTGCATATAAAAATATACATATTGGTTCTCAGAGGGGCAGATATCAAATACTCCATTACAACGGCACGCTTTCCTGTAGCTGTGAGACAAGGTCAGCCGCCACTCAAATGTGAGGGAAAAAAATCAGAATAATAAACAACGTCAGTCATATCTCTATCAGACTGCACCTGAACTATAAAGATAAGGGCATTTATGAGTCTCCCCTCTATGTGGAGTGAAGAAAATGAAATGAAATTTGGCCACGAGCACATCATACACCCACTCATGTGGGTGCATTGCTATCAACAGCGACCCACATACAAGCTTTCACGAACAGATACACACAAACACAGCTGGGGTCTTAGTGAGGCAGAGGCTGTGGTCTGAATGGGCCTGGATAATTAACGGTGATAATAATAGAATTCACTTGAGGTGGAGAGTGTGGCTGTGTACACAGCACTAAATGAACAACATTTCCTTCTGTATGGTTAGCTGTTTGCAGCCACATTTTATTGCCCCTTTTCATTGACACCTGCTCCAGCAAGGGGCCGGACCCATCAACATTGATGTGATGCTGTAATGGGTGGATTTTTTTCAAACTACAGTGATTATTTCCAGCTGGAAAAACCAGGTCAATCCTGTTCAAGGTGGTTAAGCTTGTTTATGGAATACCACAGATGGTTAAAAGATGGTCTATCATCTCTAAATTGCTTGTCCAATATGATCTAGCAGGTCTTAACCAGTCACACAATTTCGCAGTTCAGCTGATTAACCATCTAGACTGGACCAAACAAAACTGGACCAGCTACCAACCACCACAATTTTTACAGGATTAGTTTTCAGTTGTTTCTCAATGAATGAATGAATGAATGAATGAATGAATAAACTGTAAACATTTTAATACAGTTGATAAAGCTTGTAAAATTAAATGTAATAAAATTATTTACATATATAATTTACTTTCTAATTACATATTTCTAATTATATATGGGGTTCCCATGATTGATTTTATGTAATTATAAATATACAGTATACAGGTGCATCACAATAAATTAGAATGTCGTGGAAAAGTTCATTTATTTCAGTAATTCAACTCAAATTGTGAAACTTGTGTATTAAATAAATTCAATGCACACAGACTGAAGTAGTTTAAGTCTTTGGCTCTTTTAATTGTGATGATTTTAGCTCACATTTAACAAAAACCCACCAATTCACTATCTCAACAAATTAGAATACTTCATAAGACCAATAAAAAAAAACATTTTTAGTGAATTGTTGGCCTTCTGGAAAGTATGTTAATTTACTGTACATGTACTCAATACTTGGTAGGGGCTCCTTTTGCTTTAATTACTGCCTCAGTTCGGCGTGGCATGGAGGTGATCAGTTTGTGGCACTGCTGAGGTGGTATGGAAGCCCAGGTTTCTTTGACAGTGGCCTTCAGCTCATCTGCATTTGTTGGTCTCTTGTTTCTTATTTTCCTCTTGACAATACCCCATAGATTCTCTATAGGGTTCAGGTCGAAATGCTCACATTTGTAACTATATATATATATATACATATATATGCAATATCTATGAGTAGCAGTGCGATATGGCTGTAGTTCATTTACTTTAGTAGTTCAACTCAAATTGTGAAACTCGTGTACACAGACTGAAGTAGTTTAAGTCTTTGGTTCTTTTAATTGTGATGATTTTGGCTCACATTTAACAAAAACCCACCAATTCACTATCTCAACAAATTAGAATACTTCATAAGACCAATAAAAAAACATTTTTAGTGAATTGTTGGCCTTCTGGAAAGTATGTTCATTTACTGTACATGTACTCAATACTTGGTAGGGGCTCCTTTTGCTTTAATTACTGCCTCAATTCGGCGTGGCGTGGAGGTGATCAGTTTGTGGCACTGCTGAGGTGGTATGGAAGCCCAGGTTTCTTTGACAGTGGCCTTCAGCTCATCTGCATTTTTTGGTCTCTTGTTTCTCATTTTCCTCTTGACAATACCCCATAGATTCTCTATGGGGTTCAGGTCTGGTGAGTTTGCTGGCCAGTCAAGCACACCTACACCATGGTCATTTAACCAACTTTTGGTGCTTTTGGCAGTGTGGGCAGGTGCCAAATCCTGCTGGAAAATGAAATCAGCATCTTCAAAAAGCTGTTCAGCAGAAGGAAGCATGAACTGTTCCAAAATGTCTTGGTAATCGGGTGCAGTGTCTTTGGTTTTCAAAAAACACAATGGACCAACACCAGCAGATGACATTGCACCCCAAATCATCACAGACTGTGGAAACTTAACACTGGACTTCAAGCAACTTGGGCTATGAGCTTCTGCACCCTTCCTCCAGACTCTAGGACCTTGGTTTCCAAATTAAATACAAAACTTGCTCTCATCTGAAAAGAGCTTTGGACCACTGGGCAACAGTCCAGTTCTTTTTCTCCTTAGCCCAGGTAAGACGCCTCTGACGTTGTTTGTGGTTCAGGAGTGGCTTAACAAGAGGAATACGACACCTGTAGCCAAATTCCTTGACATGTCTGTGTGTGGTGGCTCTTGATGCCTTGACCCCAGCCTCAGTCCATTCCTTGTGAAGTTCACTCAAATTCTTGAATCGATTTTGCTTGACAATCCTCATAAGGCTGCGGTTCTCTCGGTTGGTTGTGCATCTTTTTCTTCCACACTTTTTCCTTCCACTCAACTTTCTGTTAACATGCTTGGATACAGCACTCTGTGAACAGCCAGCTTCTTTGGCAATGAATGTTTGTGGCTTACCCTCCTTGTGAAGGGTGTCAATGATTGTCTTCTGGACAACTGTCAGATCAACAGTCTTCCCCATGATTGTGTAGCTTAGTGAGCCAAACTCAGAGACCCTTTTGAAGGCTCAGGAAACCTTTGCAGGTGTTTTGAGTTGATTAGCTGATTGGCATGTCACCATATTCTAATTTGTTGAGATAGTGAATTGGTGGGTTTTTGTAAAATGTGAGCCAAAATCATCACAATTAAAGTATTGTAAGAAATACTTCAGTCTGTGTGCATTGAGTTTATTTAATAGACGAGTTTCACAACTTGAGTTGAATTACTGAAATAAATGAACTTTTCCACAACATTCTAATTTATTGAGATGCACCTGCATTTAATTAAAAAGCATTTTTTAAAATCTAAATATATATTTTTAAGTTTATTGCTTTCAATTATTTTTTTTTGAGGGGGGGCACTTTATTTTAAGATTCGATTCTTGCTATTAACTAACCATTATTAACAGTCAATAAGCAACTAGTTAATAGTGAGAACTGGTCCCTATACTAAAGTGTTACCATTATCTTATATTTACAGGTTTTCTATGATTGTAGGAAGCCTATTATTACCTTCTACACATAGAACATCAAGCTTGCCATTTCAAAACAAATCTGTCAAGCTCAAGTATTTCTAAAATCTTCTATTTCTAGTCCTGAATCATCAGTTTTAAGATTTCATCCATGTAGGCATGAAAACTGACTTGTTTGGCCCCAACCAAACCTGTTTCTGTGGGTTAAATCTCTGTGGGTAGTTAAGCTTATGTTCCAGAAGCCTGTGAGGAGAGAGATATCACTCTCATTTGTCATTTGCTATCTGGCAACATATATAGCATGATAGGCGGCGCTGCAATAAAGGGCAACCGTGGCCTATAGCGATCTGAGATGAATTTTACTACTGCTACCAAATGACCCCCGGCATCCATTTCGAACTCTTCACTGGAGGCACAGCCAATACACACACACATGTATAAACTGCAAACACATGACACTTCTGTCAACACAATAGCTCCACCTCATTCTCTCTGAACTTAAGCCGACAGTGAAAGAGACTGGCTTTACAAAGGGCTCCAAGTTTAGCAGAAAAAGCACTCTTAATATTCCCCTCCCAAGCCCAAAGACAGCCATCGAAAATGATTTACAAGCCTTTTGTGAAGAACACACATAAACATGCGTTTGTTTGGAGGGCGAGCAGGCCTCTGCAGACTTATCTGGAGCGCGCTTACAAAAACCAGACAAAAAAACCATGACTCATGCAAACAATTACTGTGAAGGATGCTGCCCTCTTTAATTCTAACTTAAGTGCATCGTTTCAAAAAAGGTTGCGGAGGAGGAAAATTACAGTCCTCGCTCGAAATATCGGTGGAGTGCTTAAGTGCAGGGGGTGGATGGGGATGAAAGGCAGTGAGGGAGTGAGTGGCATCAATGTGTGTGTGTGTGGACTCACCACATGGTCCTTTGTGCTGCATCTGTATCTTTTTCTGAAGGGCACATCCCATGGCCTTCATTTGGCATGAGCTGCTGTAAGTGTGCCCGTCGCTGCCACAAACAGGGTCTTGGTCCTGTGGACAAGCGTCTGAGCATTCGCACACAGGCTTGCTGTTCTTAACCACGCACACAGCTCCGAACTCGCAGGTCTTCTTCAGGCAGGGGCTCTCCAGGTTAAGATCTGCCCCAGAAAGCAAATAAACAAGTTATCGTTCTACTTTGATGAAAATGGGAAAGACAAGGAGGAAGGGAAAGAGTTAAGGTTGCTAAATTCAGATGTCATTCCACTTCCCAGTGCTTAATCAGGATTCTCTACACATTGTGTTTTGACTATTACAAGAGTGACATCCGGATCCTGCATTTAAATCTCAACCATCCATGTTCCACATTTACACCTGTGAGACACCAAAATGCTGCTATGATCATCTCTATATCAAACATTTTGGGATCGGGAGTGACTCCAGTTTTCTGTTCACACACAATAATTTAATGGATTTAATCCGGCATTTGAACACAGTTTCCTTACCCATAACCACTGCAGTGTGCATGTGAAATATCATTCCTCTTTTTCACCTGTGAGACACCAAACCGTTGCTATGATTATCTCTATAGCAAACATTTTAAGATCTGGAGTGACTCCAGTTTTCTGTTCACACACGGTACAATAATTTAATGGATTCACTCTCGCATTTAATTGTGGTTTCATAACCACTGCAGTGGGTATGTGAAATGGCATTCCTCTCTTACACCTGTGAGACACCAAACCGTTGCTATGATTATCTCTATATCAAAAATGTCAGGTTTTGAAGTGACTCCAGTTTTCTGTTCACATAAGGTAGAATAATTTAATAGATTCACTCCTGCATTTAAATGTGGATTTCACACCCATAACCACTGCAGTGGGTATGTGACCTATGTTTGATTAGAAATAGTTGATTTTGGACACAAACCACAACTTTTTTTCCCCAAACCATAACACCTGATGGTCTGAGAAAATGTTCTACGAACTGCTTGTTAAACAGATAAGCACTCTGACTTTGCAGCTGTAAACATGCAGCCCATTAGAGCATCCAATCAGAACACTAACTACTCACATCTTATTTCATGCATCACTAACCAAGCCTCCCTCAACTACAGACAGAAGGCAAAAAAATAAAAAAAAGACAGACAAGTATAACACAAAGCATCATCCCAGAAAAGGGAGAGCTCTAGTTAATAATTCAGTATGCTGGGCTACAGTACAGATATAAAATAAGTACATGAAAGAGAGTAGCTGGGACTCTCAGCGGTGCCACAGTAGTTCCACAGTAAGTTCATTAACTGCTGCAGTTAGTAGACAGAGGGCCGAGGGACAGTGGGACTGATCACAAGCCCTGTTTTTGATGCCAACACAGAGGGAAAGAGAAAGAGGAGAACGAGCAAGAAGAAGTGGGTCAGCGGTGAACCAGCACAGCTCACCGTCCTCTAGAGGAGAACCTTTCGTCACCAAATAAGGCTTCATTTCGCCCAATCAGGAGGAATTTTTATAGAAAAGGTAAAAAATTAATGCACAAAAAAAGATGGAGGAGGTTTCTAGGGGAGATTCTGTAAAAGCAATGACCCTCATTTTCATTCCAAACCTGAGTAATGTTCTTCCATATAAAACAAAAGCAAATGTTGAGCAGAATGTTCACGCTGCTCTTTTCCATACAATGGCGTTTGAACAATGTACCTGTGAACACTGTGCCTAAAATCTTTTTTGTGTTCTACAGAAATTCAAATGGATTTGGCATGACATGATGGTGAGTAAATGTTAATACAGTATAATATATATATTTTTTAGTTTATAAACAAATGCACAACATGCTGCAGATTTGTATGCTTGGGCTCCATAGCTGAGGGTTGAGAAATGCTAGAGGAGTTAACGTGATGTGTTTGCACTTTCACACTAAGATTAAAGACATGTCAAAATAAAGGGCAGCCCTTCAGGCACACTCAGTATTGTGTGAGAGGTAAAATGACAGGGTGACGGCAAATGTTTGCAGGTGCATGCTGGTCGGCGTATGTGAGTGTGTGTGTATAGAAGATTACGTGTTTTTGACTGTTCGTTTGTGAATATATCTTTGGACATGCATGTACATATAAATGAGAACCCCTCCATCTTCAGTGTTTGTTTTAAGAATGTGTGTGTGTGTGTGTGTGTGTGTGTGTGCGCCCCTACCCGTGCTACACATGGTGTTGTCACCGCAGTAATTTAGTACTATGGATTAGATGCTATCATTTCCAAATAATATTACAGACACTCAGATACATTTAATATCGCACACAAACAGCTATAATACTGCCTTCAGATAAATCAAATACATCCCTCTCCATAAAAATAACTTTCTTTTCCAATATGATATGAACAAATAAGAACAAAATAATGAGAAAAAAAATTAACATCATTGAGCTTCTTGAAGGGAAAAGAGATTTGCTGTGATCCAAAGCACACTGAGCTGCTTAAAGAGGCTGCATTTTCAAGAATGCTTGTTAGGGCAATATGATTTGGGGGAAAAAAATCTAATTATGATTTTCTAATAAAAAAAATGCAATTAAAAAACAAACAAACAAAATGTGCCATGTTTGCTAAGTGCCTCTTATGAAAATTAACCATGGTTAATTTGTTGTTACCATAGTTTAACTATAGCAACCATGTTTTTGGGGGTTTATATGTAGCAAAACCATGGTTGATTTTCATTAGGTTTGTTTGTAGGGCTGCATAATTTGACCAAAAATTTTATTTTCAATAATTAAAAATACAATTTCTATAGAAATTGTATTTGAAATTAGAATTGAAATTCTAAAGAAGTCAGTCCTAAAATGCTTTTCAACAAGCTAAGTAAAAATAAAATAAATACATGATGGCAATGTTGATAATAAACTTCATTTTCAGTCAATACTGATAAATATAAATAAAAATAGTTCAGTATAAATAAAAATCAACAATTTGGCTGTAAATTTGTGAGTGCTAAGCATTTTTACACAGTGTTAGTTTAGCAGCATGCTAACAAAAACTATTGAAATCGTTGTGTAGCGCTATTGCTATGGTGCACACACTGCGTAAAAAGTTCTAACTGTTACTAACAAGATTCCATGGCAGTTAAGATGTTGTCTTAGAAGGCAGCTGACTATGTAGACAGAATGCAGCTCACTAGGTTTAGCATTAACAAACAGAGCTAAAGACTTAGCCTGTGCCTTAAATATTACTTAGCAAGAGTGAGACCCTCAGACAGTCTCATGTCTTTAGTAAACTGCAAGAGACCGGGGGGGCATTTGAAAGTAACCCTTCTCTAACCTCTTCCTGGCACTCATCTATAATCCCGCCTCACATCTGAAGGCGGCAACCAGGGAGAAGCACATATCAAACACACATGAAGCACAGTGTGCATCAAAAGACCATGATTAGTACTCCAAAGCATGTTTTTCATGACACAAATCAAGCGGTGCCACACACACATCTCTTTTAAACCCACATATGCAACTGCTCGGCTAAGCCAATGAAAATAAAAACAGAAGTCGGAAGTAAGCAGGTTACCTTCCCGACTGCTGTGTTCCTCTGCCAATCTAAAAGTGTCCTACAGTAGAAGCTCCTCTAAGAGAACGTTTCCGGCTATTGATTTCTCTGCTGAGAACGAGAGCTTAAAATATGTCTTGAACTGGCACGCAACTGTGTAAACAGTGGATCGGTGCCTAATTTTGCAGGCCTTGAAAGCGGGCTTTTCCTCCAGATCTTCTCTCTCAGCGCCTCTCCATCTGTGCCTTCTAAGCACCCGGCTGGAGGACGGCGAGATCAGGCTCATCAGTAAAGCCCTCATGGCCTTCAAAATGCTTCAGTGACCTGTTTCCTAAGGCATGGATCCTAAAACCCGAACCGCAGCCTTCGATAATGCTTTGTCCCATGCCACCCTCTGTTTCCTTACAAAGATGAAAGAAAGGCTCTCCTTTAAAAAAAAATAAAGAATACCAAAAAAAATTAAAATTGGATATGAAAAGAAACGTTCACTTTCAGTTTCTCATTTTCAGTTTTTCGTCTCTAGGGGATGGGGAAAAAATCTTGCAGATTTATTAAGTCAAGGAAGAGAAAGTTCTCTGAGAAATAATGTTACATGCAGCCACGATTACATACTTCATAAAAAAGCAGCCTGGCTTTGGTTATTGAGATGGCTTGCATATTCTCTAAGGAAAAAATGAGCCCTTTTCGGAGCCTCTTTGAAATAGTGGGCTGCCATCCCCGAGGCCTGTGCTGCAGTGCCAGTCTTCAAGGACTCCAGCTGTAAGCTGGATGACAGCCATATGCCTCGATGGCACTGCCACTGGGACGCAATGCACGTTGAAAGGAGCACATTTGAAGTTTTTTTCAGAGGTTAACGTATGTAAAAGAAAGGAAAGCTGCGTAAGCGACGTTGGAAAGTGGTGGAGAAAGGTAATTAGGAGCCTGTGTGTGGAAAAGCGGGTCTAATAATGAGAAGGTGTGAAGAAATAGCAGGACTCGGAAGAGCTGAGTAATTGCCTGAGAATCTCTGCACATCTCCGACCCCTGCGCGATGTGGCTCCACCTCCTGCTCTACATCCACACTGCAGTTTTGTATTAAATTATGCATTTGTTCTAGTGATGTTTAATTACTGCTGCCACTGAAACATGATGTTAAGGACTATTAGTACATAGTACGAGATTCTCCTATTGAGACGGCTTCCCTACATGCTTTATCCTGACACGTCGCCCACCCAAGGGACACTCCCACTCACATCTCGCCACCATTGCGTGCTATTTAAAGTGCAGGTCTCTTGAGCCAATGAAGATTTCTTTAACTTGGTTTGCAGGGCTGTCAGAACGCAGACAGTCAGCCAACACTCACTTCAGGGGGTCCGGTAAGCTCCTTCAGCTCAAAGTTAGTGAGTTTAGCGCAGTGTGAACGCAGAGAATTATTCCTACGATCTGCTGTATGCACGCTCATGCATATGGAGATCTCCAGCCCTCGTATCGGGATTACAGGGCGTGCGCGAATCGTGATACAAACAGTTGCACGAGCGTCTCCTCCAACTCTCCGCTCCCTTGCACCTTGCCAATATGAGAGGAGTTTGCGAGTTTCGGCAAGCTGTGCGTGTCTCACTTTATGTGCGTCTGCATATCAGAAGCAATGACTTCCCCCGCCACGTCCC